AAGATTCGCATACCAACATAAAGACTAGAGATAGATATATATGGATATAATAATATAATAATTTTTAATTAGCTTATTATATTAACTTCCCACAAATTGAAGAATAAACCTCACATACTAAATACACTCTACATTTGCTTATTCAATGAAAAAGTATCTTAATACACCCCACATACTTATACATAATATCCTCACACCTTACATTCTCAATACACACCTTACATTTTCTACATGCACTGTCACATCCTGGCCCGGGTCTACCACATCCCGGGCCTGCTCTACCACCGTCGCATGATATTGTCCGCTTTGGGCTTACAATTCCCTCACGGTTTTGTTTTTGGGAACTCACGAGCAACTTCCCAATGGGTTACCCATCCTGGGAGTGCTCTGGCCTCCTTCTCGCTTAACTTCGGAGTTCCTACGGAACCCAAAACCAGTGAGCTCCCAAAATGCCTCGTGTTAGGTAGGGATGAGAATATACATTCAAGGATCACTCCCCTGGGCGATGTGGGATGTTACAATCCACCCCCCTTAAGGGCCCGACGTCCTCGTCGGCACACTTCCGCCCAAGGATTGGCTCTGATACCATTTTGTCACATCCTGGCCCATGTCCACCACATCCCGGGCCCACTCTACCACTGTAGCACGATATTGTTCGCTTTGGGCTTATCATTCCCTCACGGTTTTATTTTTGGGAACTCACGAGCAACTTCCCAGTGGGTCACCCATCCTAGGAGTGCTCTGGTGACACACCCCGACCCGGAATGTCCATTAAGACTCCGAATCAAGCTGTGCTGGGCGACACATGGAAGGTGACGAAGCCATAAAGTGTGATGATGTGGAAAATTGTGAATAAATTTAAACCTAAGAGTGCCTAAATACCAGAGTGCACTGGTGAGCGGGAATGAACCCACTTCACACGTGACGTTAGAGCATAAGCAAGTACAAAATAGTGAATTAAGAATCGTACCCTCGAATAATCTTCAATACTAAGAATCGCCATCATTCCTCAATGATAAGAAAACTCAGCTAAGAAGACCTAGAGGCGGGGTGAAGATAAGACAAAGGTGAGTGGCCCAGTAATTAAAATTTTAATAGAAATCATATAAATTGCTATAACCCCTCACTACAATACCTGTATAATTTTGCAGACTTAGAATATAAAAATATACATCTTTATATACGTATATTGATTCAAGTCATGCTTCACATATTTATAATCATATGTTAACTTATTGCATATTCATCACATCTACTAGCCCATCACGTATTCACCACATATGTTAGTTCATCACATATATTCATTATATATACTAGCATGTAAGTTGGAGTCACCTCTAGTGACCTATACGACATATTGATATTTCATCATATATCTCATCAGTTATGGCTAGCATATAATAGTCGAAGTCATCTCTAGTGACCTATACGACATTTTGATATCTCATCACATATCTCATCAATCATGGCTAGCATATAAGTCGGAGTCACCTCTAGTGACATATACGACCTATTCATATCTCATCACATATCTCATCAATCATGGCTAGCATATAATAGTCGAAGTCACCTCTAGTGACCTATACGACATATTCATATCTCATCACATATCTCATAAGTTATGGCTAGCATATAATAGTCGGAGTCACCTCTAGTGACCTATACGGCATATTCATATCTCATCAATCATGGCTAGCATATAATAGTCGGAGTCACCTCTAGTGACCTATACGACATATTGCTATCTCATCACATATCTCATCAGTTATGGCTAGCATATAATAGTTGGAGTCACCTCTAGTGACCTGTACGACATATTCATATCTCATCACATATCTCATCAATCAACTAATACCGTATACTTACTTGAACTTACCTAAACTTACATGAACTTACCCGAATGTCCTGCGTTCACCTTTGCACTTCAGAGCGTTCACAGCACCACAATTATATATATATATATATATGCAAACAATTCATCTCATCGTTTACGCATTATTTAATAGGCATGGCATTTTTAGAGCATAATTCATTTAATTGCATTTTCTGGGAAAACATCGAGCGTATACATATATACTTAAAACCAAAAGCCCACGCACATTGCTCATTTCCTTAAACAAGGCCGTGGTCACAATTATTTAATCTAATTTCTTATATGGCTGCATCTAACGTCTCGTTAGACTGCCTACGTACCCTAAGCAGGGATCAAGCCATTCGTAGTTCACAATAATCATTTATAGTAATACGCATATGGATAGATCACGATGAAATCTAACTTAACCATCTGATAGTATTTTATAACATATAAATATATATATGTCATGGCATAAGTTTCTTAGTTTTATTTAAAAGCATTTATAGAATTATCAATCATGAAACATAAGATGAGCAAGGAAAGATCCACTCACCTGGAGTCCACGCTACAACTTCTTAGCACGAACATTGAGGTGTCATAAACGATCAGCGCCTATGACCAAGGCCAATTTGGCCTGGAAATGCTCTAATTTCATCAAAACCCGTCGGAAACCCTAGTTTTAGGTGTCTTCAATTTGGCTCCATAGCAACTCTGACGCCTCAACCATTGCCTGGGCTTTGTTCCTGGGTTCTAGAGGAGTGTTTTGATGATGGTAATTAAAGGGGATGGTTTCACAATTGATCGATTTTGAGCAAAGTCTCCCGCGGCACCCATTTTGTTACCAAAATACTATCAATTTCCTTCTAATTTTTGGTGAAAGAAAAAGAGAAAGGTGAAGGGGATGATTGGAAGTGGTTCATAGGTCCAATTCGTCGGAAAATTGAACGAGAATGGCGAGAAACCGCCGGTTTAAAGGCATGGGTCGCACGGGTCAAGGATGACCCGTTTCCTCCTTTTCCCCTGTTCATCACTCTTCCTCCTTCCCCTCATTTCTTCTTCCTTTGATTGGTCCTCCACTTTCTCTTCTTTCTGGTTGGCCCAACTCCTCCCTCTCTCCTGTTCCGATTGGGCAGCTTTGCCCTTCCCTCATCCTTTTTCTGTTTCCGTTTTTCTTTTCTTTTTCCCCTCATTTTCTTCATCTTCCTCTTTAAATAATTAATTACTAAATAATATCCACATTTAAAAATATATAAAAATATAATTAGTGACTGAAACAAAAGTATTTCTCGAGTTTACAGTTCCTCTTCTAAGGGCATTTTTTGTAAAATCACGCTTTTAAAATTAATAGAAATGTAAAATTTGGGACGGGTTGTCACATCTGGCCTCCTTCTCGCTTAACTTCGAAATTCCTACAGAACCCGAAGCCAATGAGCTCCCAAAATGCCTCGTGCTAGGTAGGGATGAGAATATACATTTAAGGATCACTCCCCTGGGCGATGTGGGATGTTACATGCACCCCATCTTTTCTTAAATCTTATAAAGTTTTTAATTTGGACAAAAAATGCTAACTGAAATTTGACAAAAGATGCTGCTTGGGATTTAAAGCATATGAGGGTTGTTTTCAATTCCATCATTAAAACTCATGTCGTTTATTTTTGAATATTTGATGGTAATTTTAGGTGTTTAATTCTTTATGTAATCCTTGTGATCTCTAAAAGATGAATACGAATATAAATGCTTGAATAGCGCAGAAAAAGTAAGATTAAATCATTATTGATGTCATCAAAATCACTAAAACGATAAAAAAATATGAAGTCTTACCTTATGTGAAGCTTCCTAAACATCGATTTCGTGTTTCATTCATCAAATTTTTTTTTTTCAATCAACATGTTTGTAGTTTCATTGGTTGGAGGGATTTTGATAGTTGAAGAAAATAAATAATATATTAAAAGTGATCTGAGGTGTATTTAGAATTTTTTTATTTTTTAAACCTAATAAGGTCAAAATTGTCATTGCATAGTAGAGTAAATAAATCATTTAATATTAAATTTTAATATGAGGTGCATTCAACATTTTATGGGGTTCTAATATAAAAAGTCTTTATTTACCCTACAATGCAATGACAATTTTGACTTAATTAGGTTTAAAAAAAAATAAAAAATTTCGAAATACACCTCAAATTACTTTTAATGTATTATTTATTTTCTTCATCTATCAAAATCCCTCTAACCAATGAAACTACAAATATGTTGATTGAAAAAAATTATTTTTGACTAATGAAACACGAAATCGATGTTTCGGAAGCTTCACATGAGGTAAGACTTCATATTTTTTATATTGTTTTAGTGATTTTGACGACTTCAATAATGATTTAATCTTGCTTTTGCTGCGTTATTCAAGCTTCTATGTTCGTATTCATCTTTTAGAGATCACAGGGATTACATGAAGAATTAAACACCTAAAATTACCATCAAATATTAAAAACAAACGACATGAGTTTTAATGGTGAAATTGAAAACAACCCACATATGCTTTAAATCCCATGCAGTATTTTTTGTCAAAATTCCAGTCAGCATTTTTTGTCCAAATTAAAAGCTTTATAAGATTTGAGAAATGTGGGGTGTATATAAAAGATGGGGTGCATGTAGAAAATGTAAGGTATATATTAAGAATGTGGGGTGTATTTAGCATGTGAGATTTTTTCAATAATTTACTAGCATTTGCCTATACACTTTGTGTGTATGAACACATTTTTTTAGAAAATGAGCTTTGTGTGTATGAACACATTTTTTTAGAAAATGTGAATGGGGGGGGGGGAGAGAGCATGGGGGAGTTAGAGGTTTTTGTTTTTGGATTTTTTTATATTTTTTATAATAATATTGGAGGTATTTTAATACTACCTGTATGTGAGATTTTAATAAAAAATAGTAAAATTTGAATATGTGAAATTACATTATTACTCATGATTTTTTTTGTGTGATAGAAGACTAATTTGTCTTTCATCATCTTTTGTTTGACAAAGAAGAATTTATTAATTAGTAGATATAGAATATTAATATAATAAGCCATAAATAAATTATTTAATATTAAATTTTAATATGGGAGGGATGCTAATATAAAAAACCCTTTTAATTTATATAATTCCTGCCTTTCAATTCATGGAAAGAGAGCGAAATCTCTAAAAAACTGTGAAAACCAAAGGCAGTTTAGAGAGAGAAAGCTAGAGAGAGAGACTGCTGAGGGTTTTCTGCTTGTTCTGGTGATTTAGACGCCCTGCAGCGCCTGAGCGACAGAAGGCGAAGAACCCTAATTGGCGAGGGGGATACGTATAATTTGAGAAGTTGCTCATAGGAATCGAGGGTGAGTTTTTTCATTGATGCTCTTCGGCGGTGGAGCTGATGGTTGGAAATGGATCGTGTTCGCGGAGGCTAGCACCGGCGGCGGCGGCGGTGGTGGGGGGAGAAGCGGTTCGCTCATCGGCGGCGGCGTCGGTGGCGGAAGCGGCTTCTGGTCTTGGACTGCTTCCTCCAATGTCGGCTTAGCCGTCGCCGTCACGGCCATGGCCGGTATCGCCTTGGCCGCCACAGTCGTCTACTCTCGTAGGTAAAGCAAACAAACAAAAATTCCCAAAGAATTTACTGAATCGAAATCGAAATCCCTAAATTCGTTGTGAGTGCAAAACCCTAGATTCTTCAATAGCTTGACAGATTGATAGGTAGACAAAAAAACACACAAAGATGATTACGCATCAGAAACAACCATTAATGAAAGCCCTACGGCGGATTCACACTTCTTTTAATCCACCTCCACCGTCGTCAAATTCCACATCTTCACCGTCGTCGTCATCGTGGATTCATCTACGATCGGTTTTGTTAGTCGTTGCTTCCTCATCTTCCTCACCAGTTTCCACTGATCGGTGAGTTTTCACTGTTCCTGTTCTCCCCCATATTTCTGTCCCTTAAATTTGGTCCCTTTCAGTCTACTTGGTTACTTAGAAGTTGTATGAATAGGAAGAAAAGCTGGGATTTTTCTGTTTCATTTCACATTTTTGTAAGCACCAAAGGTGGGGTTTTTCTCATCTTTTATAAATTTGATATGTAATCCAATTGATTCTTGTGTTGCGGAAATTGTCCTGTTCAAGTACTTATTCCCTAGTCTTCCTTTACTACTCTCCTGTAGGATTCGGATTCTGAATATTGTTTCCATGCATTAGATGTGGACTGTTGGAAATGAAATTGGGTTCGATTAGGCTTTTTGTGTCACAAATTTAGAGGTCCAGCTCTTTTGTTGTCTCTGATTCATTGAAAGAAAAATCTTCTTTGTGGGTTTCGTGTTTAGTCATAAACCTTGTACTGTCCATCAAAATTATTCTCTCTACTTCGGTGGCAATAGTTCTGTTTGTCCTTTCGTAGTTGACCGTATTTTTTATAGGTGATTTGCACATTGTTCTTTCTTGATATCTTCGTTTGTCATTTGTATACCACTTTGGCTTTTTAGTTATGTTTGTTTTACTTATGCTTCCCGCAGTGAAATCTGATCACTTGTATTTGTCTCTTTCTTCAGGGGCAGTCTTAAATCACCTTGGTCCCGTAGGAGAAAAAAACACGCCCTTCTACCAAAACAATGGAAAAGTTTATTTACACCGGATGGGAAACTCACTGATGGTGGTCTCAAATTTTTGAAGAAAGTTCGCAGTGGAGTATGTTATTGACTTTTGTCAGAACTATCTTCTAATTTCCGTCTAATTGTGTTAGTTGTTGATTTTTTTTATCAATGTATGTTTTACAGCTGTTGGATATTAATCACTTAGTTTCTCATGCAGGGTGTTGATCCAAGTATTCGAGCTGAAGTGTGGCCATTTCTTCTTGGAATGTGAGTATTTTCTTCTCTATGCAATTGCTTTAATGCTTCAAGTTGTGTATCTGATATATGGAAATTAGTTAGTGTATGATTTCAAACTTGTTGCATTGATGACTGTTTGGTTGCCTGGTCCTGGGGAATGCTTGGTCCAGGGAGCCTTGCAGGTGTCTGCTATGAATTATGATGAATTTTTTCATCTACCCAGATGTACTTTGTCCTTTCTGGTGTGTCTCTATGCTGCGTTTTCTGAGTGCTTTGAATACATTCACGTATTGTTTGATTTTTTCTTGGTCTTTATGTACTTCCTCTGTGATTTTCCTAGTGACTAAGATTTGGTACAATGAGGAGGGATGAAAAACCTCAATGTGTTTGTTTTAAGTTCCAATAGTTATTTAAGCCTGGACCCTCATGCATGGTACTTTCTGTTTTTATGGATGTTTTAGTCGCGATTAACATGGGAACCTGCATCTGGGTGCATGGTGTTAAATTATGATAAGGAACTTGTATTTGTATATGTAGTTTCTTTTTCATTATTTATCCAGCCCAATTTGCTTTCTGGAGGTGAAGGTTGGACTTTTGATTCTAGTATGGCATAATGAAATATGGAACCTAATCTCAGTTGCCTTGTAGTCTCACAAGAAAAATGAACTTATAAAATGCTTTTTTCCCTTTTTTGGATGCTGAAAAAAATTTACCTGTGGATTTTGGTACTGGCTGATTTAACATTGATTTGTTCTTTCTCAACAGCTATGATGTGAACAGTTCCAAGGAAGAAAGAGAGACTGTAAAAAACCAGAAAAGGTATTGTCTTTCTGTTCTTTGCCCTCTTCCTGTACGTAAATTTCATATGGCATATTTCCTTGTCACGGTTCCCTATCTCTCACATTTACTTTATATGTGCATGTTCTTCTTCTTCTTCTTCTTCAAGGTGTTCACACTTTCTTAATCACTTGCAATGCAGAAAAGAATATGAAAACTTGCGGAGACAGTGTCGCAGAATTTTAACACAAAGTGATAAGAGCTCGAAGTTGAAGGAAACTTCTGGTAACAGTAGCACTGAGAGCAGCGGGGATTTCAGTCAAGTTTTAGATTGCTTCTGACCAAGGGGATGTTACAAGTGCCAGGAGGTACATTTCAACTGAGGGAGGAGACCAATTACCCAAGGATTCAGATAACCCTGTAGGCAATCAAGCTGTTCAGACTTCTGAATCACTTGAAGGAGATGGAGAGAAAAGTGGAGTCACCTGTGATGATCCTTATGCTGCCGATACGGAATCAACTGATTCTGATTCCTCTGAAGAAACTGATATCACTCGACCATTACTATCCACTGATGTTACTGAAGAAAACTATGTTGATGACAAGCCTAAGGAGAGCTCCTGTCTCTCCAATATTGAAAACAAGCCCAAAGTCCACTCAGCAGAAGATTTTGCCACATGGCAGAGGATCATCCGCCTTGATGCCGTTCGCGCAAATGATGAATGGATTATTTACTCACCATCACAGGCTGATGCATCAGAGATGAAGGCACAAAGACTAGCTGAAAGTGTCGGGTTAAAGGATTATGATCACTTGGAGCCATGCAGGATTTTTCATGCCTCTCGCCTGGTTGGAATCCTGGAAGCCTATGCTCTGTATGATCCTGAGATTGGGTACTGCCAGGGGATGAGTGATCTACTCTCTCCTATTATCTCAGTGCTGGAAGAGGACCATGAAGCCTTCGGGTGCTTTGTGGGTTTTATGAAAAAGGCACGGCATAATTTCCGACTGGATGAGGCAGGAATCCGGAGGCAACTTGGCCTTGTTTCGAAGATTATCAAGTGCAAAGATGTTCCTCTTTACAGACACCTGGAGAAGCTTCAAGCGGAGGATTGCTTTTTTGTGTACAGAATGGTGGTGGTTCTCTTCAGGAGAGAGTTGAGCTTTGAGGATACGCTTTGCCTCTGGGAGGTAATGTGGGCAGATCAGGCTGCAATCAGGGCAGGTATTGCCAAGTCTGCTTGGGGAAGGATTAGGCAGAGAGCCCCTCCTACCGATGATCTCTTGCTCTATGCAATAGCGGCTTCTGTGCTACAAAGAAGGAAGACTATCATAGAGAAGTACAGCAGCATGGAAGAGATCATGAGGGAGTGCAACAGCATGACGGGCCGTCTGGATGTGTGGAAGCTTTTAGATGATGCCCATGACTTGGTGGTGACCCTTCATGACAAGATTTAGAAACACCCAATGCTAATGCTAGGCTTTGATCTTTTGCTCTCTCGCCCACCCTCCGATTCTTGTTTTCCTTTTTTTTTCCTTTTTCCTTTTTTTTTGTGTTGTTGTTGCACCTGGTGGGGATCCCTTTGAAAGCAAGGGATCTTTGGGATGAGTTTCGCACTTGCTTGAAACAAGCATCTGATAGGCAAATTCTGTATTGGAGTAAATTATGGGATTTATATATATATATAAAATGTATTGCTCGCACTCTGTTGCCCTTCAGAGTGACTGGCAGCAATTCAGAAATTAGTAAATTCAGATCGACAACCTTACTTTGATTTATGAACGAACTTTCTCCTTGAGTAAATTGTGTTTTTGGTGGCAGTGGTGACAATCAGATGGTAGCGAGTAATGGAGTTACAATCTGACCTCGGTTGTATATTTTGTTGCATCTTTCTCATCACGCAATGAGATACAGACACAAGAGAAACAACCGGTTAGAAGGCAGATTCTCTTTGAGTTGAGATGTTTCGTCAAATTTAAATCTTGCCATTGGCATCTGATTCTTGCAAAGCTATGGGTGTTACCCTCTTATACCACTCATAATTCAGGTCAATTTTGCAATGCTATAGCCTTGCAGTTGTCAATAAAATCCATAGATACTTTAGATACTTCAAACTCAGAGTTTATGGTTTGTTCAGATAAAATTTTGAGTAGGACATAACTTACCGGAGGAGTTATCTGAAATGAAGACGCTATGTGCAAAAGTTGACATACATGGTTACATGTGATGGGTATGAAATGCCACCTTGACATTCTTATTTCAAGTAAGTCTCCTCCCATTCTTAGGGAAGCCCTCACAAACGGTGGTACTATTCACACACACAATTTTATTTTTTCTCACTTTTTCAATTTCAGGCCGTTAGATTGAACGAATTGAAGATGATTAAAAAACAAAAATTAATTAGATTGAATGAATTGAAGATGATTAAAAAACAAAAATTAATCCGAATGAATTGAAGATGATAAAAACAAAAATTAGTACGAGTGTGTGGAAGACAGAATAGAATGTGTGAACAACACAATCTAATTTATAATAACATATAGCCATTCATATGTACGGTTGAATTATTATTATTTTTTTTTCTGATTTGAATTTGAAAGAGTGATCCGAAGAAAACGTTGCAACTTACCAAAATACAAAATTTTAATGTGTTTTGAGTTGGTCGCTTCAATTTAACTCCTCCGGGATCCGTACGGCCGCTTAATTTTTGCTTTGCTCAAAAGTTAACTTTGAACAACGGATCTCTCTCTCTCTACAACCTCTCTGTAACTTCACGGTCAGATCACTCTTCCAAATCCGAGCCCTCCTCCGATCTCCCACAATGTCCACCGCCACCGAACAACTGCACGTCCAGAACGGACTCGTACCAGATCCGACAACAAATCCCAAACCAGAATCCGAATCAGAGCCTGAACTCGAAACTGAACCAGCACCAGCGCCGGAGCCCGAAATGAAACCGGAACCGGAAGCTAAACCCGAGCCAGTGCCGGAGGCCGAAGCTAGACCGGAACCTCTACCCGAACACGAACTGGTGGTGGCCGATGCCGCGGATCCGAAGGTGAACGAAGTGGTCGAAGCCTCGATCCAATCACACAGCCCAGGAGCTGCGCATCCGGAGCTGAAGAAAGACGAAGGGAGCCGTACATTCACGATGAGAGAGCTGCTTAGTGGCTTGAAAAATGACCAATCAAACGACGTCGTAAATGATTCCAGCTCCCCTTACGGTTACAGGTTTGCATTCCTTAATTTGAATTTTAAATTTTGATTTTTTTTGGTGGTGTTATTGTGCAAAATTCTGTTTGTTGTGCTTGAATTTCGTTTAATGTGGAGAATTAGTTCAATTGATGATCTTTTTTCTGCAATTCCCACTTTCGGGGTTTTCGAATACTGGAATTCACATGAAGAAGGATATAAATTTGAATTTTGGATTGGTTATGGTGGATTAACATGTATCTATTTCGACGAAATTAATCAGTTTTAGTTGTAGATCATATTATTAGCGAATGGAATTTGTGTTGGGGGCGGTAAAAATGTAAGTTTTGTATGGTCATTGTAATGGGTTAATGATGAAAATTGCAACATTAAATTGGGTAGGTCGATTTGCATGTCTCTGCTTTCGATGAAAATGATCAGTTTTAATTATGGATTGTCTTTGTTATGGATTACCTTTATACTTTATTAATCGTTTATCTGCTAGTTGTGCCAATTTGTGGGTTTGAATTGTATCAGTGAGGAGAGCCCACAGGAGCAACACTCAGAGCAGAACAATGCTGCAATGGAGTTGATCAACAGTGTTACTGGTACCGATGATGACGGTCGGTCTCGCCAACGGGTTCTTACTTTTGCTGCTAAGAGGTATTGTATTCTTTGTCCTTCCTTCTTACTTGTCAGCTCGTAGGTAATAGTATAATCCTATATTTTAGTACTGAAACAAAGTTTAAGTTGTTTGCAATATGCATGGTCATACTTCTCTTTTCTTATATTTCTTTTCAGAACTATGCGAAGTTTGCAACCGCATAATGTCTAATGGGTGTTGCTTTCCTGGAATTCTTATTTGTACTTAAATTTGGTAGGTATGCTAGTACAATAGAGAGAAATCCAGATGATTATGATGCACTTTACAATTGGGCGCTGGTTCTTCAGGTTTGAGATACTGTCCTGTTTGATATTTGGTTGCATTTAATTATGGTTTCTGGTTATCAAATTTCAACCAGATGGGTTTCTCTGATATTAACTATTTCTTAGCAATGCAACTGTGAGAATGGTTTTAGTTTATATGGCTTTAATGGTAGTAAGAATAACGCACTGAAACTTTGTCTACCCTATGTGTTTTTTACGCTAAATAACCCATTCTACAGTAGCCAACTTTTTCCAACTCCCTATAGTCTCTACATTAGTCAATATTTTCCACTTGGGTCAGATGCGTGGTATGAAAAAAGCTATAAGTACCTTCATTATGTTAGCTCTTTCCTCCAGTTATGTACCTTTAGATGTTTCAGCTTCTTTATAAATGATTACATAATGTGAACTGTCACTTGAATATTTTTTTAAGGACATTTTGTCTTCCTCTTAGGTGCACTAGTGTCAAATCATTTTACTATCTAAATGATCCTCATTTGGAATGCAGGAAAGTGCAGATAATGTTAGTCCAGATTCTACTAATCCTTCTAAGGATGCTTTGCTTGAGGAGGCTTGCAGAAAGTATGATGAGGCTACCCGTCTGTGCCCAACACTTCATGATGTATGTTTACATATCCTTTTCCATTATAATCTCATCAAATGGTCGTACCCAGTGCACAAGGCTCCCGCTTTACGCAGGGTCTGGGAGAGGTGAATGTCGGCTAGCCTTACCCCCATTTTATGGAGAGGCTGCTCCCAATATAATCTCATCAAATAGCTAGTGAAATTAGTAATCTTGAAAGTGCTATGATAGGGCACTTCAGAAGGTGTCTATATGTTTGTTGATGATCTTTCTATAATTTCTGATTAATTATCTCACTTGTGAGAGTGAAAATAATGCGTGATTATTACTTGCCAGGCTTTCTATAATTGGGCTATTGCAATCTCTGATCGGGCAAAAATGCGTGGTCGTACAAAGGAAGCTGAAGAACTATGGAAGCAGGTTAGACCATAATTTCAGGGCTTCAGCCTTGCAAGATAGAATTTACTTTCTTTTTTCTGTGTCTTAACTCTTAAGAAAAGTTGCTGCTCGTGTTAATTTCTCCTTCTGCTGCTGTTGTGGCAGCCTTACACTTGGCAGCTGTATTCTGACACTTGGAAGCTGGACATGACTTTAATATTCAAAATACAATAGCACAGAAACATGAGCAATTGCTGATTTTTAGTTTTATTCTTTTGTTAAAAAAAAAGGCCTTTGGACTAGGTGATCTTTTGGAGGTTTTAGGAAATTAGGAGTTTGCTTCGTAAATCAATTTTGCTTCTCCTTAGATGTGGTGGTGCTGGCATCAAGTGGCAATAGCTGTCATTTATTTCTTGTCAAATCATAACCAGTTTGATTTTTAATTTCTAAAGAAAAACATAGTCAAATAAATGAAGTGATTTTTACCACCCCTTGATTTGATTTGCAGGCTACAAAAAATTATGAAAAAGCGGTGTTGCTCAACTGGAACAGTCCCCAGGTATGACTCAAGAAATTGTTGTAGTAGGCTTATTCCTGTTTCTTATGATATTTTACAAAAACCAACGTTATATACAGTTACTTAAAGAGAAACAGATTATATGTTGTACTTTTATGTGCAAATGGAATCGAATTCTAACAAAGTACCAATATCAACGTCATAGGTGAAAGCTAAAACAAACAATCTCAAACTAACACAAGAGATTTACGTGGTTCGGCGTAAAGCCTACGTCCACGAGTGAAGCACGGCGAGGAATTTCACTAAACAAATGGAGATTACAAAAGAGTGTTTAAACTCTCACAACCCAAATCCCACAAATTACAAACCCTAAACCAAACAAGAGGGAGAGAGTGTGTGTTTCCCTCTCTGTAACCCAAAACCCAAAACCCAAAACCCAAAAATAAAATAAAATTTTGGAGAACCCCAAAAGCAAATAAAGAAAACTTGGTCTCCTCTAAATTGGCATAGTGAGTAGAGAACCCAAAACTAACGGAGAAGATTCTCTCAAATTGCTCTCTAACTCACAAATTGACTCTCACCAAATTGCCACACGAATGAGCCACACTAAATACACTAACCCTAAGGTCCTAATTATAGTGCATAGGACTTGGGTTACAATAAGAATCCTAATAGGAAATAAATCCAAATCCTAATCAAATAGGTAATTAACAAAATCTCTCCACCAAGGAAACTAAGAAGTCAAAACCAAACCCAAATAGGACACCAAAACCAAATAGGTAACACAAACCTAATTTATTGCATCATCCTAATATTGAGCCAAAAACCCAACATTATGAAACCTTCTGACTTGATGAAAGGAAAAATGTACTTATTTGCGTTGTCTCCTTTGTTTCCTATCACTAAATCCATGTCATATATTTCAGGCACTTAACAACTGGGGGCTTGCTCTGCAGGTATCTTAAATTGTATTAGTATTTGACTTTGATTTAACTTATTTTAGAAGAAATAATATCTTTTTGAATTTTCTCCTTGCTCGGCATATTTATGTTACATGTCATCAACTCCAAATTAATTTTTTTGTATAAAACAATTTTGCAATTTAGGAACTCAGCGCAATCGTTCCTGCAAGAGAAAAGCAAACAATTGTAAGATCTGCAATAAGTAAGGTACCATATAATAATTTTCTGGAGATATCAGAATGATTGGATGAATGTGAAGGGAAACCAGAAACTTATTTTCATCTTTGAAGTGTTTGTTTCTCATTTATACTGTCATGACTCGTGTCACTTTCTTCTGGTGCAGTTCCGTGCAGCTATTCAGCTGCAGTTTGATTTTCATAGAGCAATTTACAACCTTGGAACCGTATTGGTTAGTTTGTTACTTATTTTAATAATTTAGGATAATCTGGTACTCCATTCATAATTTAAATGGATTCTCAGCTTCCTCTATAGTGGATCAAGAAACCACTGGTTCTCTTATTTACTAGTCCCTTGTAGCTTGAATTATCAAAACTTGGTTTTTTCTTTCTTGCAGTATGGATTAGCTGAGGACACACTAAGAACTGGGGGATCTGGACATCCCAAAGAAGTTTCACCTAATGAGTTGTATAGTCAATCGGCTATCTACATTGCAGCTGCACATGCTTTGAAACCAAATTACAATGTAAGGTTCCCATAGTTTTCTTTCTCAATCAATTTGATTTAATATTTATTTGGAGAAAAGGACAACACTTAAGTGATACATAAAATTTACTTGGTTTTATTTTTCCTTTTAGGTTGAAGGATATTCATTTTGATTTGTGTATGCTAAGTTTTTGTGTGATTAATTATTTACAGGTTTACAGTAGTGCCTTGAGGCTGGTGCGATCCATGGTAAGAACTAATACCAATTTCAATAAACCCTTTAGGCTTCTGTATAAATACTTTTGGTCAGTTATGAGATTGGGTCTCTACCCGTTCTCCATTGCGGGACTTATGACAGAACCGTACATGATGTGCTTTCTTGATTATTCCCTGATATTCAAGACTTAATTCTCCCAAATCTTTCAGTTGTCATACCTTGATGTCTGCTTAATCTAGTTGGTTGAGATATTTATTTTTTTTTGGTTTGCTTACATGACGATTTCTAATCTTTACAGCTTCCCTTACCATATCTTAAAGTTGGATCTTACTGCACCGCCAGCGGGAAAACCAATTGCACCTCATAGTGATTGGAAACGATCGGAGTTTATTTTGAATAATGAAGGGCTTCAACAGGTAATCTTTATCATTTTCTAGTGTATATTAAGCGAAGAAAAATCATCTGCTGATTCGATAACTGAATTAGTTGTAGTAACTTTCCTTGCTTGTGCCACAAATATATTCTTTATCTATTTGTTACTTATTTGTGTTCCTTCTGTTCATCTACTTCCTTTCAGCAGGTTAGCAAAAGTGAGGCAAAGCATGTACCCCAAGGCATCTCAGGCAGATCAGTAGAAGCAGCTATAAAAGTTGACGTTCCAGATATCGTTTCTGTTTCAGCATGTGGTGATCTGACTTTACCACCTGGTGCAGGCCTTTGCATTGATACAATTCATGGACCCGTCTATCTGGTAAGGAATGCCCTTCATAACAGATAAAATTCTTTATATGAAGAGAAGTTCTTTTGTTCTTTGTGGTGGTTACAACTTACAAATCATAGAATTTTTTTCGACCGTATATATATAAAGTGAACTAAAAACATTGCATATATATATGAAAAACTGATTCTAATGTGAATGTCCAACCTCCAGGTTGCTGATTCATGGGAACTCCTTGATGGATGGCTTGATGCAATCCGTCTAGTTTACACCATCTATGCTCGGGGTAAGAGTGATGTTCTGGCAGGTATAGTAACAGGCTGATTTAACGTAGTTTTTATTTTTCTTTTAATGTATCATCAGTTCCTTGATTTTTTTTCGAGTGATGTATAATTTTCCGATTGAGAATGACTTGTTTGAATAAACTCTGTAAATTACGCATTTTTTGACACGACCAATACAATTTTCCTTTGCATGGTCAGATTTCACTCTGTTGAACCAGTTTTTGCATCTCTTCTTAAGTTTTACCTCAGATTCCTTCGGTTTTCGGTGACAAGATGAAATTTTTATTGTGTAAGATCGGATACAACTTGCTACCATTCTTCCCTATACTAAATATTAATTGCTATGATGTGCCCCTTAGTTTTTTTACCCATTTCTCACTAACCTCACACACACACATATATATATGTATGTATATATAAAGCCCTTTCACTCTAGGAACCCAAAAATTTCATGCACATTGGGGGTTTTACTTTGGCCAGAGCAAGAACCGATGCGGGGAGAGTCCACAACCCTTCCCCGCAAATCAACCCGGAAGCAACTGCTGGAACCATCAGCACAGCCTTCTTGCTGTTAATCTTGTGCCATACAAACACAATCAGACTCCCTATGCACATGTCTATGGCAAAGTATGCCCCGACGAGAAATGGAACGCCCATGACCATCGGAAGTGGCATCCATTTTCCGATCTTTGGTAAAAAATCTCTGACTATGTTGACTATCACCGCGAAAGCTAAAAAGCCGTAGCAGAAGCTGGAGGCAATGCTGAGGCAGCGCCGAGAAGCCTTGCACGCCTAGGATCGCCATGTTTCTGTAGATCAAGGCGTAAGGAGCCTAGAATTCTCCGTGCGGGTTTCCCACATCGAACGCCTTGTAGAATAGGAAGAAGCTGAGAGCTGTCACACAGCCTAGTGCAGTTTCAAGGGCTTGGCTCACAAACATTGCCCTGGGAGAGGTGAAGGTTAGATGGGCTGTCTTGAGATCTTGCATCAGAATACATGCCACGGAGACGACCGATTTGATGAGGCCGCAGCCCGCAAGCCCCGCCACCACACCATGCTCTTTTCCAGTCATTGCTGCCAGCACAAAGAGGGCAACTTTTCCATAGTTGTAGGACATGTTTAGATCGGTTAGACCAGCTCCATAAGCATTGCAGAATGCAAGAGATGGAGCAAGCAGGTAGGCTACTATAACATAATACCATTTGAGCTCCGGGAACATCATCGGGATCGCGATTACGGAAATGATGGAAAAGACAACGTATCCGGCTACTGCAAGCCGCGTAGGGATGTTTTCGCGGAGGAAGATTTCGTTTTGTTTTTTTTCGATCGGCTTCACCTTGCCCTCAACATCTGCAGGGAGAAGAAGCTGATTAGCAAAACTTTTAACTAAAATAACACAGCAGCATGAAACAAAAGCATTAAGAGGTTGATTTTATTACCCAATTGGAGATTCTTGTTTTTCAATCCGACATGAATATTAACAATGGTGCATGTTAGGTACTCAAGCCCAAAGGAAGAGCTCAATCCAAAAGACTAGCCTGATAGGTGGGAGGACCCCAAGGACTTAAGTATCACTACACCATTTCTAGTGTAGCCGATGTGGGATCATAACAGTGCAAACCAGAATCTTGACGAAATTGTAAAGACCGTCACCAAGTATTAGGGCAACTGCGAGAAAAACCTTGTAACCGTATAAACTCTTCATGTCATTTTCGTCTAAACTCTCCGGGAACCAATGTCCTTTACGCCGGCCTATGAGCGGCCATAGTACACCGAAAGAGAGCACAGACCCGAAAAGTAAGGACAGGTTTATTAGATGTGAACATATCATGCCTGCTCCGACGAAGGTCATGCCGAAATCGAAGTAGAACCTGCAACAGATAGCAGCAAACTTATAAAGGATCACTAACAGCAAGCAGAAGCAGGGAGAAACAAATGAGTGATCGATTTTTTCTACGTGTTTTTCCAAGCTTGCAATCCGAACGTGGGGAATTGTGAGAATCCACATTCTGCTCTAGCACTGTAAAACCACTTGAAGAATCCCCACAGGAAGCTGACAGAAAAATACTTCATGAAGCCGTGTACTTGCTTCCTGCAAATGATCATAACTTGTGTTGAGTTTTGCATCTAATACGGTTTTTAAGAGCAGATGTGGCGTAACTACATTGGTTAGAACGGATCAGCTCTCCCATATGCACCGAGTTTTAATATCGTTTCTATTAAAAAAAAATACATATATGGCTTTCAAAGGAGAGATAAAGGGAAGTGTTGGCAGATGTTTACTTAGCCATTTTATCTCCCTGAGTATGGAGGCCATTGATGAGAACCGCAGTTGCCAAACCACTTAGATAAGTCAACTTCAAGTCAACTATCATAATCTGTGAATAAACAAAAAATCCATATAAAAATCTACTTAAAAGGAAAAAGAAACCATATTTATCTCCTCAAAGTCTTCAGTTGAACAAGTAACTGAAGACGGTAAGGAGCTTACAACTTAAGTGATTAACATCATTTATCCTGAGCTGGAGATCTTGAGCTCAAATCCTCAAGTGAGTAACATCATTTACCCTAACCTGAAGGTTCCTGAGTTTGAATCTTCCCAAATATCTCTAGTATAATAACGAGATTAAAAAATAAACAATGACTATAAAATCAGTACCTTTCTTAGAGGAATCAAGACAAAAAGGCCAACAAAACAGACTAGAAAAAGGAAGCCAGTCATCCAACCAAGCCCAGGCTCCTTAACGGCAGTTAAAGGGTTTCCTTCTGTGTTCACACCTGACAGCAGAAATGTCTTCTTGTTTAATCCCAACAAATAAAACGAAAATCCACCTGTTAACAAAACAAAGTATAAAGTTATATAATGTTTAAGAAACATTAATTTACAAATTAATATAACATACAGAGAAACTTAAAAGTACCTCCCACAGCAATACTATAACCAGCAACTGCACAAGTCTGAATCATAGTATTCTCCCGCCGAGTGAAGGGTTTAGAATTAAATTCTGCCTTCTTGAGCAGGTTCGTCCAGGTTCGGATGATCACGAACGCGAGGAGAGCAGCAGAGACATTGAGATGAGGAACAATCCCAAGTTGTGAGGTTTAGCTTCATAGCTATCACACTGTACGCCATTCCGATCACTATGCTCGCAACGACTCCTTGGAATGTTAGCTGCTGTGTCCATGGAAGGATTGTCCCAACCGGCCCCTCGGATTGAACTATTGTCTCTTCTTCCATGTCATCCCTCTCTATCTCCTTCTTCTCCCTTGCTTCCAGCTCCATGTTAATGGCTTCAAAGTCCTGTTGCTTGTTTGTCAGGCAATGGGAACAAAAAAAGAGTTTCAAAGGGAATCCATGCATGAAATTACCTTTTTTTTTTTTTTTTAACGAATAGAAAGAAGAAGATGCAACACAAGAACTTCTTAGGAGATCACTCATGCATGAACGTACCTTCGAGTTGTTTTGTTTTAGTCCTCTCTTTTTCCGTTCCTCGAGCTCAGCTACAATGGATGAGACTAGACTGGACTAGCGTGGCTATGAAATTACATAATCTTGAAAAGTGGATGAAAATATTTGGTGCTGCCTATTGCAGTGAACTAGACAGAGAGAAAGGATGCTTCCTTGATGAATATATATAGCCCACAAAGTGCAGAAATTAGTACTTGAACGGGTCTATCCTCTTCATTTTTCTCTGCTCACAAGCCTACAAATTCCAAAACCACATGAATATATCTTATCACTAGAAATTTCAGACTTAGAAATATCTAGGGATAGAAATTTTTCCCGAAAAGTTCCAAACCAAACCAAAAAAATCCCAATCACATACCGAAAAATTCCCCAACTGATAATTCTGAAAATTTTGGGATCAATATTGAATTGATCAACCTTTTGGTACGGCAATTGACACATCCCAACCTGGATTGTCCACTAGGACTTCAAATTGAGTTGTGCTGGCCCCCACCTGGAAGGTGATGAAGCCATAAAGTGTGGTGATGTGGAATATGTGAATAAATTTAAACTTAAAAGTGCCTAAACAAGAGAGTACGCTGTGAGCGGAAATGAACCCATTTCACACGTGACGTCAGAGCATAAGTAAAGTATAGTAGAGTGGATTGAAAATCATATTGTCGAAGGTAATATCTAATACCAAGACTTGCCACGAACCCTCATCAATTGGAAAACTCTGCTACTAGAACCTGGAGGGATAAAAAAAAAAGTGAGTGGGTCTGAGTATAAAGCTTTAATAAAGACCTTCTAAACGATATAACCCCTTGCTGCACTACCTGTATAGTTTCCAGGAAATCATACTACATATAAGTATGAAGTCAAATGTAAATCAACATTAAATAAAAAAATAATCCAAAATCACTACATATTGGCAACAACATAATAAAATTAGATGCTCATCACTCTATGATAATCCACGAGATTGCAGATTCAATCACTTTGCCAGAGATTGCAGAAGTAAACCAGTTAAACAGGTTCAAGTGGCACAACGAATGGAGGAGAAAACCTCTATGTTATTTACTTGTAATTCTGCTGCAACAGTCAAAAGTGAGCATGTTTGGTATATTGACAGTGGATGCAGCAACCACATGATTTCACATGAGTCTATGTTGATTAATTTGGACATAAGTGTTTCAACAAGAATCAAAATGGGGAATGGACAGATTGTTCAAGCTAGTGCAAAAGGAACCTTGGCGATTGAAACCAAGAATGGTACCAAACATATTAAAGAAGTAATGCTAGTGCCAGGACTGGATAAAAATCTTATAAGTGTGGGGCAAATGATGCAGCATGGTTATTTCTTATTATTTGGAGATGATCAGGTTGCAATCTTTGAAGATAGAAGTTTGGAGAGTCATGTTGTTACAGTACAGATGACTAGTAATAGGTGTTTTCCACTACTTAGGGAAGATATGAATGGTTATGCACTAAAGGTTAGTATTGAGGGTGATGCTTGGGAATGGCACAAAAGGCTAGGGCATTTGAATTTTAACATCTTGAAATTATTGTCTAATAAAGAAATGGTGATGGGTCTACCCAAACTTAAGAAATCAACTGGTGTCTGTGAAGGGTGTATTGTTGGAAAACAGCATAGAGATGCATTCAGTAAAGAGTTGACTTGGAGAGCAAGTAAGCCTATGAAACTTGTTCACTCAGATGTGTGTGGGCCAATGCAAGTCACAACATTTG